ATATTTGGAAAAAAGATGAAAATCAAATACAGTCAGCAATTAGAATTTATAGAACATCGTTTGTTTATCACATTCTTGGTAATGTTCTTCTATTCTTTAATGTTTCACACTTTGTTAACATCTTCTCCATTCCGCTCATAGCATCTTCTGCCGCTAGTAGAAACCGATATCTTTATACATCTCCTGACTCTTTAGTAAATTCGTCCATTTTAGAAGGTTTCTGTAATACGTGAGTTAACTTCTTCCCATGATTCGTTAACTTCTTCAAAAAATTCATCATAGCTTTCACTTTCTTCATATTCTTGAAGTGCTTCTTCAAGTTCATCATCAGTTTTATTATTTGATTGTTCTACAAGATCCTTGTCAGTTTCATCATTGAATTGTTCATTATCAATTGACATATTTGTATTAATTTCTTCTAGATCATACGTTTCATTATCTTCTACCGGCTCCAAACCTTTTGCTAGCGGAATCAGATCCTTATGTCTCCAAAAAGGTGGGGATCTGTAATGTTTGACTTCATTAAAAAAATTTGGGTTTAATGGACATACGGATTGGACTAGATGTTTACAGAGAAGAAAATGACTTTCAAGATAAGCTGGGCATGAGCAAGTCCACATTTTTGGATCAGTGGCATATGAATTATCACTTAATATTTTTTTTAAACATGCTTTCCAAGTACGTTTAAAAACTGGACACCATGCTGCTATAGTTCTTGCCTTGTTATTTAATTCAAGATCCCTCATTTTAATAATATATCGTGGAAGAAGACGCCCAGCAAGAATCCATACTAGCAAATCGACACGTGGTTTATTAAATTTACTATTATAATTATGTTTAATAAATCTCCAGTGCGATTCTACGATCATTGTCGTCTTTAATACAGAAATTTCTTTTTTTGCATTCCGTATCCACGTGGGCCATTTTAATGGGCTATACTACTCCAACCATAGGTATGACCACACCCATTTAAGATCATTGTCTTTGCAGTACATATATATTTTTCTTAACAGCAGCTTCACGGATTTGATTAGATGAATAATATTGCATGTCGTCCGCAAGAATATATAGATGTTGGTTAAAATATTTTGTCACAAGATTAATAATATTGTTATGATATTCTGGAGGACAAAAGGTGAACACTATTTTTTTTACTTTGTGGTTGAATTTTTGATTGAATTAATTCTGTCTGTACCGTAAATTGTTGTGATGTAATTTCAAAACAAAAATTAATGTCAATAAATGTAAATTCAGCATTTGCTAAATTTGCAAGATATCGAATTGTCTTTGGTTCTTTTCTTAATCCTAATTGCCTCTTTATTGCCCTTTTTAAATGCCAAAAGCAAAGTTGAACGTAAGCAGTTGGCATATCGTTTTTACTGCTGAGATCTGTGCAGAATCTTTATTGGTCATTACAAAGGTTGGGTTGATTTCTATGCGACGCAAATTATCAAACAAGCAGGCAATCATTCTAGTGCAGACACCATCGACAATTGCAGTAGCCGTGGTCAGCAACATATAAGCTAACGGAAATCTCATTCTATCCACTTCGGCAAGTACAGAATATAATTCAAGATTCATTTTGTTGGTGTTATCTAAATTATAAAAATTATTAATTGTTAATAGAGCTTTTAAGTTTTTTTTTTTTAAGAAAAAAAAAAACTAGATAACATTGCAGGTTAAACAAAATTTTTAGCGAAACAAAACTTGAAACTTTGAATTTTGATATATAGAAAGATTCAAGTTTGACAAAATCAAAATTCGAAGTTAACTATTTCAAAATTTGAAAGAAGATTTAGCCGGCAATACTAATATGAACACATACACGTTGCATCTACCCCGATTTCAACTGCTTTTACTCCTAATCAGCTAATAATTTCTTTGACTCCAAAGCTAATCATGGTAACTCCGTTCTCTTCAACAGTTAGCAGTAATTCAATATCGTCATATTGTTCAATAATTTTAATTGCTGACTGTATTTGATTTTCATCTTTTTTCCAAATATGTTGACTGAAGGTCATCCACCAATAATATATTTGCTTTTCAGTGATATTCACGCTCCTTGTACCAAGATTTTCTCATATATTTCAAGGTGTTTGTTGAAGGTTAGCTTGAACATATTCTTTAATTTCATTCATGACATATACGTCGACATATTCAATGTGATATTCATGATTTAGCTCAATTGTAACTTGCATTTTCTCCATATCGATAGTAAGTAATAATCAACCCCTGCAATGGAACCGTTGTGTTGGTAAACAATCTCTATGTTTTGTGGAGTCTTCATGTTTTTTTGATTTTTTTGTCGGTCAAGAAATTGGGCGCAATGATATCTAAATATTGTAAGATGATCCGATTTTCGTAAGGGACTGTCTTTATAACTATATAAAGGTTAGTTTTTTTTTATTTATATGTTATTAACATAAAGTCAACACTCTATACCAAACTAATAGATTCTTATAGAATATATTTAGTGCACAAAGTTTAGTCTAATGAGTGTCGATTATATTTAACTTATATTATCCTTACTTGAATTTAAAATTTATAACTATGAAGATGTTATCCGAAATATACGTTGCTAATTCTTTTGGATCAATTGGAGTTGTATATCCACTTATATCAACAATTTGCTTAAAATTTTCTATGGTTTGGCCTTTCTTAGTTTTCAAAATTCTGAAAAAATCTTCCATCATAATGCGGTTGGTATTTGCATCTGCTAACGCATCTGCAGCTGCACGTTTTTGCGCATTTTGTCTATTTTTTTTTCTCTGCAAGCTGAGCACGTTTTATTTAATTGGCCATCTTTCAAAAAAGATTGATGTGGATAAAATTTATTGCAACCTTTGCAAAATTTCAGCTGAGTATTAACTTGGGGTTTCATTTGTTAAAAGCAAAAATTTTTATATATTGACGATTTATTGATGAGGTAATGAATTATAGAAAGCAATTTAAAAGTATTTAATTCTGGAACTTCTTGAAGTTCAAAATTCTAGCACTTATATACATTTCTATTTTTCATTTATAATTAGCGATTTTAGCTTAAAAAAGTAACAAACGCAAGTTACAGTCAATAAGATTCAACGAAGGTGTTAAAATCTAATTATTTTATTCATTTGGCTTTTTACTATGTCCAAAAGATTAAATTATATTTCGATTATGCTCTGACTAAAATGCAAGCTAAGGTATTTGATAATTACTATATTAGGTGATGCATTAATACTTAATTATTGTTAATTTTTATTTACAACAATTAATAGATGAAATCGTATTTCGATGATGCTTAACTAAATGAAGAAAAAAATGCAAGCTACGGTAAATGTTGATTACTATTTGAGGAAGCGCATTAATATTTGATTATTGTATTTTGCTTTATACATTCATTGTTTTTATTTACTACAATTTGATAGATAAAATTTAAACTTGACGACACTCTAACCAACCAAAGCAAAATAAGCAAGCTAAGGTATATGATAATTACAATATGGGGAATTTTATTGATATTTTGATTATTGTTAGTTTTTTTTTATTCTTTTATATATAGTAAAGGTCGACAATATTTTAACTAAACAAAGAAAATGCAAGCTAAGGTAAACGATTATTACTGTATCGGGGGATGCATGAAATGCTTGATAATTTCTATATATTTTATTAGTTTTATGCTTACTTTTTACCAAAATCAATTGCTCTTACATTTTTACTTAGCATTATTTAATTCACAGCTTTGCTGATTAATATTCGGTTAACAAATGGCGATGCTGTTGCATTTAATAATTATCCAAATATGGAAGTTATTTCATTTATACGCTTACTTTTAAAATTTTCACTATACTCTTTTTGTACAATATATAAATACACTTTACTTCTTATTTAGTCTATGGGTTAACATTAGAATTCATTGAAGTTGCGCAAGAAAAATCATTGTACGAGAATTGCATGAAGTATTATAATATATTGGCGAATAGTTTGAGAAAAAAAAAAAACACTCCAATAATATGCATGATATAGAAGAGGCTAGAGTACATTAAAATTCTAATTATGAACATTCTGGTTAATTATTATAAATTTTTTCTAAAATCTTTATTAATATTTGAACTTAAAGATTACAAGCATGAAATTCTATACTAAACCTATTTCATTGCTAAAAAACGAAGATTAGAACCTATCTAAAATTTCAATCACAAATCTAAATACATTTAGGCTTCCCCTCTAAAGCAAGTATTTATATCTTCAAGCCAGATAAGAACTTATTTATGCAGTCTGTTGATCACCCTTTCAAGCAAATACCTTACAAGTTAGATATAGAGATGTTGGTATAGTCTGACCTCTCTATAGTCACACCCCATATAGTTACACCTCTATATAAACACCTAATATTGTGTGACAGACTTAAACATAGTAAAAAAAGCTCATTATAGTCACAAATCACTTATAATCACTA